GATGGATACTGACTTGACTGGCCCCTCTCCTGCGTCGTCGTTTCTCCGATCCGAAACCCTAGGCCGGGGCGCTGCCGACGGATGCCGCGTCGAGTCCATGGCCGACCTCCTCGTCCAAGGTACGGCCTCCTCCCTTCACCTCTTCTATTTGGTCCTTGTCTGTCTGAGCACGCGTGTGCCCCTACCTGCAACCTCAACTATTGAAATGTCTGCGCGCGTGCTCAATCATCTCTAACCGATCCCTATATGGCCTCTTATCTTTAACTCCTCAAATTTGCTCCTCTAAAAATTAGTGGTTCCTAGCTGAATCCTTAAACTTAACTCCTTAAAAAAATTAAACACAAATTCATGCAAATTTGATTCAAACTAGTCCATCAAACTTGATTTGAACTCGACTCATACTAGTAGCATAAACTATATTACTACATAAATTTAAATGAGATATAAACTAAAATTGCATAAAAACTAAAATTCGACACGTCGGTGCCGAAGAGGAAGTTCAACCGCGCTGATGTGCCGTGGAGGCGCATTGGCTACATATTGTACGCCCGCGCTGCCTGCGCTGCAGAGTGCTAGGAGCCGATACAGATGCGGCGGTCGGTTTCGCGGTCCGTCATCTCAGCCACCCACATCAACTATGACCGCTGTCGCACGCCGAGGTACCTCCTCTGCGGCGCCGGCGGCGGTGGCAGGTCGGAGAACCGGGAGGAGAACGCTCTGCCGTGGGAGGATCCGCCACGACCTCAGGCTTGGGACGACTATGCGTGGGGCGTGGATCTACGCTTCTAATCGGCAGAGGTGACCTACGGCGGCGGGGCGGCGCTGAACTGGATGCAGGGGCTCGCTGACGGGGATGCGGGGTGCTAAGTAGGGTTGCTGGAGGGATTGGGTGGAGCTGGAGTGGATGTGGGGACTCGCAGACGCGGATGTGGGGTGCTAAGTAGGGTTGCCGAAAGGATTGGGCGGCGCCTGAATGGATGAGGTCGAATGGTGGGGGAGGGGAACTTTTTTACTCCATGAGTGGGCGGCTGAGTATATTAAGAGCCGGTGCAGCTGCGGAGTAAATTTTTTACTCCTCTAACGCCGACAAGGGATCGGTTAGGTGCGGTTTAGAGGAGCAAAACCGGAATTTTACTCCTCTAACGCCTTTTAAGGGATCGGTTAGAGATGCTCTTATGTGTAATACCGTCTTAGCGTTTGAACGCAAGTATAACACAACATGCATTTTTTAAAAACTGGTGATTGGCCTGTTGTTACTGATGCAATCTGCAGCTCGGCACAAGCTGCTCGAAGGTGATGGGATGGGCAGAGCAACCGGGGATGCAGGAAAAGGTGAGCTGTTCTGCACTGGATCAGGGAGACCAGTGTCTGTCAGCGAGAGGGCTATAAGGAGGGCCAGGGCGTTGGTTGGGGAGGAGGTGGAGAAGGCTGGTATTAAGAGAAGTAAGAGCTTACGTGTCCAACTTTTGGTTTGCTTTGGTCAAATTGTTCCGTTGTCCGTTTCTGCATGTTTTGTGCCGGGTTGACCAGATTTTGTGTTTCAGAGCAATCATTTGGCGATGTACCTGATGTAGAGGGCGATTTGGGAGAAGTGGATGCCCCATTTAGAGGTAAGACTTGCTTTCACCTTTTTCTCTGTAGAGACAAGATTGAATGTTGCAATAATAGCCAGAAAGTGCCTAGGTTTGATAGCTGCATGGACTTTATTTTCTAGAGGTTATGCATTACTATCAGTTTTCCATCTTATGAAATTTAGGTGGAGTGCAAAACACCACCATGCCCCCATTGTTCCAAACTGGATCAGGAAAAGCGGTCTTGCTGGGCAGGAACTCAATCCAAAAGGCAAGAGTTGTTTTAGAAGGTAGGAAGTTTAACACCTGCTTACTTTCTATGTAAATGCTGAAAGTGCTCTGTTATCACTTTGTTCATGGTGACATTTATATGACTCGGAGTAATTTAAGATTTGTTCATCCTGTGTACCGCTAGAAATTATGTCATAATTAATAATAATAGAATATTTATTAAACTAGCCAGATTTTCCGCAGCTGCCTGACTATTTGTTATACTTACAACTGAAGATATATTTAGATGTGCTTAGCTTGTTGAGCATTTCTTGCCTAGCTTGTTGGGCATTTCTACCCCATAATAATATACAGTGACTTAACATAGTTTTATTTATACTAATTAGGGTCCACCAAATTGATGGCTGCATTTTTTTTTGTGAGAACTTCTGGTATATTTTCCAGTTTTTCTTAGCAATTTTTTTGAAAGCTGTCACTTTTGTTGCACAATACTTCCTCCTTTCCCAAATATTTGTCTTTCTAGACATTTCAAATGGACTACAACATACGGATGTATGTAGACATATTTTAGAGTGTAGATTCACTCATTTTGCTCCGTATGTAGTCACATGTTGAAATCTCTAGAAATACAAATATTTAGGAACGGAGGCAGTAGTTATTTATAGTGCTGCTGTTGCCGTACAACCAATGTTCTGTACTGGACTTGGTAGGCCGGTTCCTGTGAACCGGACCTTTATTGATAAGGCAAGAGCTGTTTTGGAGGGACAAACAGCTGCAGAACAAGGTCATTATGATGAGAGTATAATAAAAGTTTTGGATAGTTTCTTAAAGAAATAAATTCCAAGCATGCCTTAAATTTTTGAATAACTGACCCCTCTGTCAGCAGGTGTGGACGGCATGGAACAGTTTCCGTTGTTCCAAACTGGTTCAGGAAGAGTTGTATCAGTCAGTTCAGCATCTGTTCAGAAAGCTAAGTCTGTGTTGAAGGATAATAATACAAGCGAGGGTGAGCTTTGCTTATTCTGCTATTTGCATTCAGAGCAAATGATCTTGCCTGGTTATTGTGAAACGCATGGCTTTTTTTGGTGTACTGAACTATGATGGCATTCCTCTCCTATTAGAAAATATGGAGAGTTTTGGTAGGCCTAACCAGCCTATGATGTTCCAAACTGGTTCAGGAAGACCAGTCACGATCAGTGAAAGATCCATTGAGAGATCTAGAGCTGCGGTGAATAAGGGAGATGCGGAAAAGAGTGGTAAGATTGGAGTACCTGGGTCTTTTGAAAAAAAGCTTGGACTATCTGTCCTTTGATTTATCCAAACAGCTACACACATTATTTCTAAGTGGTACTTTTCTGTGTAGGACATTGGGATACTGGTTGCCAGTTCCCAATGTTCCAAACAGGATTAGGGAAGCATGTTGCTGTGAGCTGGAGCGCAGTTCAGAAGGCAAGGGCAGTATTGGAGGAAGAAAAAATTAAAACAACTGGTACATAGACATATGGCCTTGTTATTTATCTGTGTAATGTTAATGCAGAAGATCAGCATTTTTTCCTTGTATTCTTTGAGATTCAGGACATGGAGATAGCAGTGTTTGTGCCACAACTCTTCAAAGTGAAACGCCAAGGTCTGTTTTGATGAGTAGCAGTTTGATCATGACTGATAGAAGTGTTACACCAAATGGAGATAGTGCAATGCAAGGTACTTGACTTTCTCAAGCTGACTGTGTCTGTGTTACCGACACATCTGGGGTGTTCCTCATATTTCAAATAATCTTTTTCAGTCACTCGAATGGAGAAAAATCATGAGGGTGGCAACCACTTGCCGTTGTTTCAAACTGGGTTAGGGAGGTCAATTGCTATAAGTAAGAGCTCAGTTAAGAGGGCAACTGCAGTTCTAGAGCCAAGGAATATTGCAAAGGAATTGGAAGGTAAATTGCTCTCTAAACACACAAAATGGTTTCGTAGCAAGTGTGGTCTCTTGGCACTAAATTTGTGATAAATATGCATTTATATTTACTGACAATCAAATTTTCTGTCTGTTAGATGAAGCTCATTTAGATGGTGGCCATGACACTTCCATGTTCAAAACTGGATTAGGAAGGTCTACCTTGGCAAGTGATGGCTGTAGAAATGAATTGTGTATCTTAGAGGCTGAAGAAGCAGTCAAAAGTGGTACTTTCATGTTCCGAATTAAGAGTTCGTGCACATGGGCCTAAATAGTAGGTAGAAATAAACTTTTAATGTCTGCACTCAGTTAACAATTGCTTTGTATGTGCAAACCAGTAAACAATTGCAATGGAGAAGCCTTTGTTGAAGAGGCAGCGTTCCAAGCTGGAATACAAAAGTTTGTACCCCAAAATAGAAGTTCAAGTCATAAGGCCAGTATGCTTTTGGAGCAACGAAACTTCATGGAGAAAGGTAGTTTTTGGAATTATTGGGTTATATAGTGGGGGCATTTACAGAGTTCGTTACATTTGGATCTTAAAAGCAACTCGTGACTCCTTTTTCCATTCCTTTGACATATGCAATATTGTTTTGAAAGGATACGAAGACTGTGGAAGTCAACTGCCAATATTTCAAACCGGATCTGGAAAGTCAGTCTTGATTAGTGAAAGCTCAGTGCAGAAAGCAAAGGTTGTTCTGGAGGAAGAAGTCAAAATAAACAGAGGTATAACAGCTGATCAATTTTTTCTGAGACTTTCATTGATGCAGCCACTGCTACGTTATTTCAATAGAAGATGGTATAGAAGTTCAGCATGCATGTCTAGTTGAAGTGTCTATTCTCAAACTAGTCCTTTAGTTCATTTGTACAATACCGCTCAGCCCATAGGTTAGCTAACCATCATGCATTCTGTTAAACTTTCGATGCAGCTGTTCATTGCTAGACTGGTGTGCTAATCCCAAGGTTCTGTAATGCTTTTTAGTAAAAATTAGACCAACTTAACAGAAGTAAAGCCTAGCACTGAACGACCAATGTGTAACCTGATTATGTTGCAGCTTTCATTTAGAATGATACACTTATTGCCTTCGACTTTCGAGGCAGCTGTTTAGCCTATTCTGTCTAGAATGTATCATTCTTAAATCATAATAAGCAAATGTATGTTTTCAATAGTACCAAATGTCAAGAATACAATGTATGATCACGGTGAGCTGTCCAATGATCAAGTCAGGCATTGGAGTGGCATGTTGATGTGGTAACATGCACTTCTTTATTATTGGAACTAATCGATAGACAATCGAGAGAGACAATCGAAGAGACAACAAATGATTCAACTGTATCCTTTATTGATCATGTTTACAGTATATATATGACATGGGGAGACGCCTTCAGGCGTCGGTTTGGAGAGGTGCCGATTCGGGAGAGAACCGTCATGAGGCAGTTACTACCTTGCGTAGGTTGCGGGATGCAACGGTGTGGCAGTTTGGATAAGGAGAGATTCCCTTAATTAATCATGTGATGATTAATCACAACACTCCCCCTAATCTACGCTTGTCCAAATAGCATTATATATTGTAAAGAGTCTCCTCTAAAAACCCTGTGGGAAAAATGTGAGGAGTATAGTGTTTGATATGTTGCCAAAACTCCTGCAAACCCAGTGGGAAAATAAGGAGAAAATAATGCAACATATAATAGTTATTGTCTCGGTTAACTCAATATGATAGAACCATAGAGTTTGGAGAACAATAATATGTCGTGTATACTTTCCTAAAAACCCCGGTGGGGAAAACGAAAAGTATGACATATAATCTTGTGTTGATATTACCTCATTAAAAACCTTTATGAGAACCTGTATAGTAAACTCATAAAGGGAAAAGAGTATAATATGATGCATTGAATAGGAACAATTCAGGAAGATACCCCCCCTGATTCTTGCAAAATTAGAAGCCGTCACATACCAATTCCATGAACATATTTGTGGAATGTAAAAGTTGGTAGAGACTTGGTGAACAAATCAGTTGCATGATTTGACTTGCAAGATGTGCAATATAAAGATATTGCTTATTAGTAACCTATTTGCATCCGGGCAACACAAGCAACATTATCGTTGAGATAATGGTTGGTGGATGTAGCCATGAGGTCTGTTTTGAAGACTCTTCATGAGAGGGCTACCACACCTAGTAGAAACACTAAGCTTGTCTACGATCTGACATAGTGGGGATCTGATCGATGTATCCAATGATATCGGTGTTCACATTTCTATGAAACTGAAAAACCAGGACAAAATGTTTGATGCCTTGGAGATATCGAAAGATATTCTTGAGTACCAACCAATTGTGTTTGGTGGATCCAATGGCTTATGGAACGTTGAGTCCCAATATCTCATTTCCATCATCTCTTGGTCTAAATCGATCTTTCTCTACGTCTAGCGAATGAACTACCATGAGAGTTATGGATGGATAAGATTTGTCCACAATGAATTTCTCCAATATATTTTGGATATAGACAACATAGTAAACCATAATGTATGAATGAAGGTGCTCAAGTTGTAGTAACGAGCAGTATTTTGGTTTACCCAAATCCTTCATTTTAAACTCCGTCATTTAGATGATTACATGTGTTATCATTGCAGACACACAAATACGGATAATCATCATTGTAGGAGTAATCCTTGTGCATAAGGAACCCACTACGTCGGTTGTACCATATGTACCGACAACAATAAGTCGTATGGTGACTTACTGATTCTACACAATGTATGTTGCATTTTGTATTTCGATTCAGAATTGAGATTCCATCGGGAATCATCATATATGTCTGAATCTAGTGATCCACATGGATATGCGATCACTACATCTATCAACTGCAGAGATAGATGATTTTGTACTGCCAATTATATAAGTTACCGGAATGAGATTCCACCTCTGGAGAATAGTTAGGTATCTGCGTAAACCCTTGTGCTACAATACTTGCTCTTTGTTTCACCACCTCGTTGTTCTCAATTCTGTTTCCAGAAGAAAACTGTTGTAGGTAGTGCTTATGGATACCTTCCCATTATTGAGCAAGATCATTTCTACCTAGATTATACCCTTTGCTTGAGTTCAGCCCGAGTGTTGTTCACACTTTGCCATGGCCATGGTCTTTGGATCTGAATCAATTGAAAGGTTTTTTCAATCTAGTTGAGAAATGTATGTCGACAATTGTAGACTTCCGATTATATGATTCTCCAGAATCTATATATCAATATATAGTTGATGGAAATATCGTTACCCATGGTCACTGCTCGCGATTTCCCAATGCGATTGAGTCGGGTATTCCGATGTCTCGGTCATTGTGTGCACTATGACCTGGGTTGGTGGAGGTTTCCCGTCCACTGGGTGTATACTACCCATTAGGTGTCCCGGTGAAGTTGACTTGCATTTACTGATTCACAGGCCTTGATATCCTTGCTTGCGAGAAGCTGAATCCTGATGTACTTCTGCCATACATCTCCCCCTGTTGCTTTGAACGGGGAGTGGAGTGGATTTTGTTGGTACCTCCACTCTTTCAGACATACTTTTGCAAGATTGTAGGATTGTGTGACACCTTTATAGTCAGTAAATGAATCTGGCAGGTTATTTGCAATATGTTGCAAATCTACTGAACACATGGTTCAGCTCTTTGATTACGTGGATATGAGGCAGAAATGTGTTGAACATTCCACTAATTTCCTGGCATTCTTTATGGTACTTGAATTCTCCCCCTAATGCCTGGAAATATTCCTCATTGAATCAACATACTGGCCTTGAATAACTCCCCATGTGAGGGGCTTGAGGTATTGACGGTAATACAATTATTCCTCACATAGATCCCAACTATATGTTGAGGGGCCAATGATGTATGTCGGGGTGATGATATCGGTGTGTAACCGAATTACCGCAGATAGGAAATACTTGGTAGATTTCCATGTATCAAAGATAGAGGGGAATAAAATTATGCAGTTTCGTCATGAGCGTGTAAAACTCCATGACTCCAACGTAAAGTTGGTAAGTTGCAATTTCAAAGTAAAGATCATGCAATGAGCCCAATTCTTTGGATGGGATTCTACCAAACCATTTTGAGTCTAGACATTAGGACAAATTGCTAAACTTCAATCCTAGGGCCATAGAAAAAGGCACTCAAGGAGAATTCTGCAAATGCTATCCATTCGATTTGCTTGAAATCGATGTCAGGATAATGAGTCAATGGTTTCGTGTGAATAAAGCACACTTGAGACCATCATGTAGATGTGTCTTATAGAACCATGAAACACCTGAATAGTCTAGTCAATGGATGGGAAGAGTCACTTACCTCAACTTGATGCATTCAAGGAGTCTGAGTGGTTCAGCGTAAACTTTAAGGTGCGCGAGCCTTAAAATTAGCTTCCCTATGTCACATGTAGTGCACAGAAAATCCAAATATTGTTAGAATCTAGCATCATAACAATCATAAACTATTGGAATTGTTGATAGTTTCAGTTTCAACCCAATGTCTCGATGACCAAGGCGAGTATGCCAAGTTTGCCATGTATAAGACATTTTGGAAAACTATCACGGGCGCAACATGTGCTACGGTTTTTGTAGTATGTGTAGTACAATCCAGATGATACATAGAGAATATCTTTTCCATATCCGCTGCATATGGTAAAGAGAATGTATTCCTCTTTGTTGTCATCATAAGTTTCGCTATGGAAACTATTTGAACGGATACCTCTATAGTTTAGTAGGGTACGAGTTAAACCTGGGAAGCAATAAAGCATCCCGAAATTACTCAAGTACCCACAGGGATAGTAAATATGACTCGAGTTGAGTCAACAAATACCTCATCGCATTCAGCGATTTTAAAATATCTCCTTTCTCTCAATGAGAGCCGAAACATTGGACTTCCCTGAGTATAGAGTTTGTGGTGCATATGCCCACACGGCACATATCAATTTTCATTGGATTGACTCCCGTAGAAATCTATATATAGACATGAAGATTCTCAAGAAAATTAATGTGGGATATATAGAATACATACAAATGAATTTGTATCAAAGTGCTGATACAATATATTGTGATATACAATATATAATGACAATAATAATCATGTTCTTATTAGAACATCATAAATGGACATAAATAAATAGATCACTAAGGAGACTAAGGGACTAGATGTATAGTCTCCAAACATGTCTGTTGATGCATATTCAACCATCATGCTCTCCATGCTCATAGGGTCTCGTGACAGCTTGATGGTGTTAGGTTGAGGGTTTGAAGTGAGTTTCAAACCATTACCCTTGAGGCCCTTTGCATCCCGGTGGCGTGGCTTGGGTTGCACGCGCTATCCCATGGGATACAAGACTGATCTTGATGTCCATGACCCGCTTAAGTAAGTTGTGCCCATTGAGGGCAAGTGCCTCAAATTGTTAGCCATCGATTACTTATAGGGACAAGTCAGAGATAATTAATTTACAAGAAGTAAATTAAAAACCATCATGGTTTTGTAATA